TTGAGAGCTGGATGTTTGCTCCCTCAGCTACATATTTACTGCTAGCCACTCCAGCATTATAGCCGTAGATATAGCGTCTGGGGATACGCTATTTTTATCTATAGGCTGCCTTTTCAGGGTGCCACGAGAACCCCTAGAACGGTATTTAAAGTGTGTGCACGTTATGCTTTGCCCACTTTTCTAAAAATCCTGTATGGTAAGAGCTACGCGCAAGACTTTGTGCTCTTTTTGAGTGGTTTAAAACCCTGGTTCCGCCTTGGGCACCACTCCTCTTATGTATCCTCTGGATACCTACTTAACAGGGTGTTGCTACTAAGGATCTGTTGTTCCTTCAGCACATGCAAAGAGAAACGTGCCATAGCCCCTGTGTGACAGGCCAAGACTAGTATGATTCTAGGCTCTTGGTCGTATTCCCTTAAAGGAATCTATTTCTGATTCCAAGCCTTGAGCTCTACCCCGGGCCCAGGAGTCTGGCTCTAACAGTAAGTATTTTTGGGGTATGTAGCCTAGGCCTTTGGCCGTAGGGAATAACGTCACTGACAGCCGTCTTAACGTCCCAGGGGCGACTCCCATAGCAATATGGTAGAGTTGGTACTTAGTGCTCGCCATGGTTCTGGCTTGCACTCCCCTCAGCATGGTGGCGTGGGTATACCATTCCCCATAGCGACCCCTAGAGGACGCAGTTCGAAGTTCCCATGAAAGGGAACGTCTCAGGTTACTTATGTAACCATGGTTCCCTGAGTAGGGAACCATGCTGCGGACGCAAGCTTCAGACGAATAAGTGAATGATGTGTAGCTCCTGGCGCCGATTTATACTGTAGTCGCACCGGTAGTGACGTCATGGCTGTCGCCGGCCAACGAGTTGGTGTTTTTTCAATGTATGCTTCAGACACGGGTCACGACGAGGCGTTCCCCATAGCGACCCCTAGAGGACGCAGTGTCTCGTTCCCTACTCAGGGAACCATGGTTACATAAGTAACCTGAGACGATTTCCTGGCACATCATAATTTATTACTTCTATGAGTCCTTTTTGGACTTTCTGAGCGAGAGCGCCCTCCGGCTTTGAGTATAAATGAAACATACAATGCACAAGAGTGTTTAGCGCTCCGTAATGTTCACATCTCCTCATTTTGGATACAAATAAAACGCCAGGTCATGCAAAGACTATCTTGTCTTTTGCGTTTAAATCTAGATTTTTTCACACTGGCCCCTGAAAACATCTAGGCTACTTGCCCAAAAAAAAGTGCAGGGAACGAGTTTATGTTTTATTGAAAGTGGGGGGGGGGGGGGGGAGAGGGGGGGGGGGGGGGGACTTGTAATCCAAAGGTTGTGGGTTTGAGTCTCGGTACTGGAAGGGATTGTGGGCGGGGAGGGTGAATGACCAGCACTCTCTTCCACCTTCAGTACCACGACTGAGGTGAGACCCTTGAGCAAGGCACCGAACCCCCAACTGCTCACCGGGCACTTCAGCAATATGGCTGCCCACTGCTACGGGTGTCGATAATGAATCGAAATCGGCATCCAACCCACCGATCAAGCCAGTTGAGCGTTGAAATGATTAATGGGGAAGGTTGGATATTGTTTCAGGTTCTGTATCTGGGCCCACAATATGGTTGGACACCTAAATACCTAATCACAACCCGTAACCCCTAACCCTAACATACAACCTCACTGACCCACATCACTCCTGATACTTCTGCAGACTAATACATATTCCAGCACAGTATTTTAATGCTAAATAGCATGCTACATGCATCTAATTTCAAATACAGATGGATAAATCTTCTTTGTTTTCAAAATACTGTCTCTCCAAGTGGACAAGCAAACTCCCCAAGTTTACTGTACTGGTTACTATACTGAATCAGTTGACAACAAAGAGGAAGAGAATTCTGTTGAGAGCACAAAAACGGGAAGGGATGGAGGAGGTTTGTCAGTCTTTTTTCTGGATAATATCTCTAAGAATATGATCATGAAATAGTTTTTTGCTCTTTAATACTTAAAGTGCAGTAGAGACAGGAAATGACATGGAGAAAAATGAGAAGCACTACTGTGTGACTTGAACTATTATTTATTCTTTTTATTAATCAGTTTTATTAAAAAGCTTCTAAAATGTTTGTCCAAATATACCCCCAAATATACACAAAAGCCTATAGACCCTAAATAAAAACTCAAAACTTCACAAATTTAGAAGACCTCATAATCCATAAGATTCTAAACAAGCTTTTGAAGATCGGACCATAGGTGGCAGTATAACTTATAAAAGGGTGAAACATGTTATATTTCTATGGCAAATTACATGTGATTGTTGATAATGGTCGTCTTTATGTATTATTTATGTATTGAGTGTACTTGTTTTCAGTCACTTCTGGAAAAACAAAGCTGAACATCGTGCTGTGTGGAAATCATCCAACACTCAAGAATTCAGTGTCTAAAATATTTAGAGGGACAATGAATAAACAAATGAATATACAAATAAATAAACTTTTACATCAGAAAGAGAAGAGCAATGTGTGTGTGAAGAAAGAGGGGAAGATCGATGGACGGCAGATGAGTGTAATAGAGCTTCCAGCTCTCTCTCGTCTCTCAGAGGAGGACGTGATGCGGGAGACTCTCCACGGTGTGTCTCTCTGTGATCCTGGAGTTCATCTTTTCATCCTCGTTACTCCTGTCAGTCCACTCACTAATGAAGACAGAGCAGAAATGGAGAAGATTAAAGGAATATTTAACTCTAATGAGCACTTCATGGTGCTTTTCACAACTGAACTCACTGTTGACAAAAGTGTGACAGATTTTGTAGCGTCCACAGAGTCTCAGAGTGTTGTGAGTCTCTATGGGAGCTGGCACAGTTTGATGGGGTTGAAGGACCAGAGAAACTCTCAACAGATCTCGGCCATGTTAGACTGTATAGAGAGCATGAAGACTGAACCCTATTCTCTTCAGACGTATATAAGAGCTCCAGAGAGGAGAGTCAGACATGAACTAGAGGAGAAACTGAGAGTGAGAGATAATGAAATCAAAGATTTACAGCAAAAGATCAAGACACTGGGTGAGTGGATTCATTTTTCTGGATAAAGCATTACTATTTTGCATTACTCAATTGCATTACTATTTTCTTTCGCTTCAGCTATAATAAAGAGACATTTCATTTCCATGCCTTATTAGCCTGAAGCGTCTAAACCTTCTCCATCGTCCGTTTTAAGTGCTGGCTCTGAAACTGAAACCAGGGGCGCAACTCTGATCTGACAGGCGGGGGTGGGGCATAAGACCTTCGTTCATCTTCGGAACACAAATGAAGATAGTTTTGATGAAATCCGAGAGCTTTCTGACCCTGCATAGACAGCAAAGGAACTACCACGTTCAAGGCCCAGAAAGGTAGTAAAGACATCGTTAAAAGAGTCCATGTGACATCAGTGGCTCAACCGTAATTTTATGAAGCTACAAGAACACTTTTTTGTGCACAAAGAAAAGGAAACAAAACGAAACATCTCCGCCGAGTTACCATCTGCCGCATTATCTAGAATACCCTGACGCATCAAAAATAACTTAATTTGTGTTCCGAAGATGAATGAAGGTCTTACGGGTTTGGAATGTCATGAAGGTGAGTAATTAATTTTTGGGTGAACTACCCCTTTAACCAGAAATCGCTTACTGCACCTTTACTAAATACCCTTTTTATTCATAAGCTACCTATTTCAAAGAGAAAAATTTTTACTCATAATACCATCTTTACAAATTGAGTGAGTCAATGATACAGTGACACTTTCATAAAGAGAGTCACTTCATTTCTGAATGAATCAGTTGTTTGAATGAATCAGCTGAATGAATGACTGAATGATTCACTCATTAAGACTGACTTAATTTCAATTAAATCATTTCATATTTCAATATTCATTTTTGAAACCTGTTAATACCCATTTAAATACCATTATTTTTAAGCATTGTTAATGCAATTGTAATTGCAGTGTAAATGCATTCATTCCACCTTTGAGCTGCATTAAACAGTCCATGTAAATACAGTATGTCTAAATGCCACTTCAGATGCAGCTTCTGAAAAAATGTTATGGCCATATTGTAGATTTAAAATTTCTCATGTAATGAATTCAAGGTATGTGCCCGAAAAGTGAATCCATATTCGGAATGGCATGGAAAACAAATAACGAGCTCTACAGACCCACTAAAGGGACAAGGCTAGCTGCTTGATAGCGGTGGCCTGTTGCATTATACAGTACATACAATTTAATTTACCACATAGGGAAGGAAAAAAAATTGGGTAGTTTGTCCACTTGATGGTGCTAAAACAGGAAAAAACATAAAAATGGCTGTAACTATGCAACTGATTAGTCTGATTGACTTGAAATTTGGCATACATTGGCTTTATCCAAGGTGCCACCCAAATCTTTGAGGGCATTGCGTATCTCGAAAAACATGGCTGCCATCGGCCAATCAATTTTGAACACGTTTTAGACAAGATTAATGGAGGCAAATCGGAACTAAACTTGGTAGGCCTCTTTGACTCTCTTTTTACATCTCTTATATCATGCAATGTTTCATGCATACACACAATATTCATATCATATGTTAGATTCCTCATTCTGAACAACGTTTCCTCAAGAACCACTGCTGTCATCCAAACCTTTTGTTAAATTTGATATTATGTAAAAAAAAAATGTTGAACTTTTTCGAGTTCGTCCTGAATGGTTGGTCCGGTTTTCACCAAAATTGATACAGACCGTCTTTTGATGGTCCTTACAAAAAGATATCAAAAGCTTTTTGATACATCCAATCGTTCTTAAATAATGCATGAATTTGACGAAGAACTCTCCAAAGTTGACATGAGGCTATATCTCCTCAACACTTTATTGTATTCACACCAAACTTGGCGTTTGTTATAACAACCATGTCCTGAGGTTACCTGCGCAGTTTCGGCACAGTGCTACCTAGTGGTCAGGAAATATAAAAAATGCCCAAATGGATCTAAGTCTGTATTTCTGCACTGTTTTGGCATATTGGAATCAAACAGTGTGTGTGTCATTGTCATCCCTAGTTAGCCACACCACATCAATTTGGGAGCAGCGCCACCTATTGGTCAAAAGTTATAAATCATTAAATAGTATTACTAGTTGTGGAGGAAATTTTATTTTCTATTCATATTATTAGTAGTTTTATTTGCTTTACTCTGCTAAGGAGTGTTCTTTCTTGATTGACTGTCTAAGTAACATGCTTAAGTTTGTCAAGAGATAGATGAGACATAACAGGAAATCTAAGCGCAAGACAAGTGTGAGACGAGAAAATGTTATGTCAGCTTTTAGATGTCCTGGCTTCTTACAAATGCATCTGGAGGACATAGTTAGGCACCTTAAATGGACATACATGTTGAATATGCATTATGATTGGATGAGATCAAAGCATGCGGATTTGATGAAGGTATAAATGTTGAGTTGGGGTGCCTCTTTTTCACACTCTGCAGTCTATCTGTATGACTGTAGACTTTTCTTGCAAGAAAATAAATCTTCAAAAGACTTCTGTCCCATATGATTTTTCAGCCATTTTGAATAAAAATCAACTTAAAATGTCTATAATTACTCAAAGGTCTTAAAGCACTCGAATCCTGGTGATTGCTACTTGCAGCTATATTATATTTTTATCTCTTTCTCTTGAGTGTTTCCACGACTATGTGTTCAGCAAAGACGCAAATGGTTTTTAGTGGAAAACTAGTCAAATACAGTGCAATTGTGATTACAGTAATTCAAAAACATTATGTGAATGCAGCATTAATCTAATTTCAAATCACATTGTTAAACTAGTTTATTCCTTTGACACAGATCCAGAGGGTGTGAAGCTGAATCTGGTTGTGTGTGGGAGTAACAGAGAATTAAAATCCTTCACATCAAACCTGATCCTGAAGCAGAGCGAGAGCAGATCCGAGCTGAGCTCCGAGTGTGTGAGGAGAGACGTGGAGCTTGATGGACGTCTGATCAGTCTGCTGGAGCTTCCAGCCAGACGTGGTTTCAGTCACAAGGTAATGATCAGAAAATCTGCATCGATTAAACACTTTTCATGATTGCTGAAGTCAAAACAATATTATATGCAGACTACAGAACAAATCATATGATTAGCACTTGATGCTTCAGTATAAATTATATAGGCTACAATTGACAGTATTCACTTGAAGTTGAATAAATTGTTTTTTTTTTATCTATCTTTAGATTCAAGAAACAGAGAAGATGAACTGAGGATTGTACTGCTGGGAAAAACTGGAGCTGGGAAGAGTTCAACTGGAAACACCATCTTAGGAAGAGAAGCATTTAAATCAGACTTTTCTGAAAAGTCTGTTACTAAAGACTGTCAGAAAGAGACAGATGAAATCAGCAGCAGACACATCACTGTGATCGACACTCCAGGACTGTTTGATACTGAACTCAGTAATGAAGAAATCCAGAGAGAAATCAGAAACTGCATCTCCATGATCCTGCCTGGACCACATGTGTTTCTCTTACTGATTCCACTGGGACGATTCACTCAAGAAGAACAAACAGCAGTGAAGATCATCCAAGAGACGTTTGGTGTGAACTCATTAATGTACACCATAGTGCTATTTACCAATGGAGACAAACTGAAGAACAAACCCATTGAACAGTTTTTGGGAGAACCTGAATCTGCCCTTAAAAATCTGATTGAAGTGTGTGGAAACAGATTCCATGTGTTCAATAATGAGACTGGAGACCGAACACAGGTGACTGATCTACTGCAGAAGATAGACAACATGGTGAAAACAAACGGAGATAGTTACTACTCATGTAAGATGTTCAGAGAGATGGAGAGAGAAATACAAGAACAAAAAAAGAACATACTGATGGAGAAAATGGAGCAAGTGAACAGAGAAAAACAAGAACTGATGAACAAACATGAAGAAGAGAAAAAGAGGATGAAGATGGAGATGGAGAAAGAACAACAGGATCTGAAGAGAGAACGAGAGGAATGGGAGAAACAGAAACAACAGGAAAGACAAAGAAGAGACGAAGAGGTGGACAAATGGAGAAAGAAAGAAGAAGCGATGTGGGATGAATATAATCAGAGACTTAAAGAAGAGAAGGAGGGAATAAAGATGATGATAAAGGAAGAAAGACAGAATCACGAGATAGAGAGAAAGAGAATAGAAGAAGAATATATAGAAGAACAATACAAAAGAGACATTAAAGACATAGAGGAACAAGAGAGAAAGATACGAGAGGAGCTGAAGAGAGAACGAGAGGAATGGGAGAAACAACAGGAAAGACAAAGAGAAGAAGAGGAGAAAGAAAGACGTATATTTAATGAACTTTACACAGGAACTCCTGAGGTTCACAACACAAACAGTGAGTCAAACAATAACCAACTAATTTTGAAATTAATTTGCAAAAAATTCAATATTTGGGTGTAAACAATACTTTTATTTTACTATACGTTGCTGTTCAGCAGTTTATGTGGTTGCTATATTGTTGAAGAAATATTTCACTGGTTTATAATCATCAATTGTAACAAGAAGCATTTCGGGATCTAGATCAGTTTAGTTTACAGTGGAGCCACCAGCTGAAACCACAGATAAATTGCTTGTAAACACTGTTACAAACTTCCCTATATGTCTAGGGGTAAGCGAGGTTGTAACAAATCTAAAATGAAAAAAGGGGTTGACGGTCACATCAATCCTCTGATTCAGAAAAGCAATGAACACAAGATTAAGCAATTAGTTTTTTTTTTTATTGGTAACCAAAAGAGTAACAACGGAAGCAAATCTTCAGGAGACGGCAAGGCCAACATAACAAATAAAACACTCTAACTATTAAGGAAAATATTAAATATCATATACAAAAGAAAATAAATAAAACCACAACAAAGTCTTACCTTACTGCCTGACTAAAATAAACATAGACAAATTTCAAGTTCAAAGAAAAGAGCACCTTCTCCCTACAGCTTCCCAAAAGCAAACAAAAGTATTTACACAAAAATAAAGAGTAAAAACAAAATAGATAATAAAACGGGGGGGGGGGGGGGGTTACATGTCACTTT